GATGGTAATGAGTGGTGCTTGTCTCTTCCTGTTATTTTATTGTTGTGGCGTGTGTTTTTCTTCCTTTCATTTGGGGTCTGGGATTTTTTGGATGTGGTTAAGCTCTGTAGGTTGGAAGTTTTCTTCTAGCGCCTTCAGTTGGGCTGGATTTGTAGATAGATACTGCTTAAATTTGGTTTTTTATCATGGAATGTCTTCCTTTCTCATCTATTGTGATTGGAAGTTTTGCTGAGTATAGTAGTCTGGGATAGCATCTGTGGTCTCTTAGAGTTTGTAGATTATCTGTCCAGCCCCTTCTGGCATTTACAGTCTCTGTTAAGAAGTTGAATTTCTGCCTTACTATGTTACTTGCTCTTTTTCCCTTGTGTCTTTTAATATTCTTTATTATGTACATTTAGTGTTTTCATTATTTTGTGGTGAGGGAACTTTCCTTTTCTGGTCCAGTCCATTTGAAGTTTTGTATGCTTCTTGTATCTTGATCAGCATCTCCTTTTTTAGACTAGAAATTTTTTTTCTATGATTTTGTTGAAAATATTTTCTGCGTCCTTGGCTCATGTTACTCCTTTATTCCTATTATTCTTAGGTTTTGTGTTTTCATAGTGTCCCAGAATTTTTTTAGATTTAATATTTTCTTTGATCCCAGGCATTCATTTCTTCTATTGTGTCTTCAATTTCTGAGATTCTCTCATCCATCTTTTGTAGTCTCTTGGTGAGGCTTGCCTCTGAGGTTCTTGTTCAAGTTCTTAAAATTTTCATTTTTAGATTTTTCCCAGCTTAGGTTTTCATTATAGAATCTATTTCTACTTTCAGGTCTTGAACTATTTTATTTTTTTCCCACTGTTTGTGTTTTAATAAAATTCTAGAAGGGATTTATTAATTTCTTCTTTAAGGACCCCTCTCTTATTTATAAAGGATATTTTAAGGTCTTTGTTTTATGCTTCAACTGTTCTGCAATCATACAGTCACTTGGGGTTGGCAATTCTGAAGATGTATTTATTAAAAAGAACATTCAAAGTTCTGAGTTATATAGATATCTGTGTCAGTCTTTAAAATGTCTCTCTCTTTGCTTTTTGCTTTTGGTTTGGGTCAGGCAATGATAGGTTGAAAGCAGAGTGTATCTCTCTGAACAGTGTGCTTATTCATTTAAAAACACGTTGAGACTTGTGATGTACCGCACACGGTGGCCACCGTAAGCAGGAGTTAGCCTGCGCCCCTGACAGAGTTCTCGGGTGGGACTTTTTGAGGCTCGGGAGCTTCACATTTTGCATTAGAGAAATTTGAGACATCCTCAGGTGTTTTCTGCTGCTGTCCCTTGGGACAGCTAACATCGGATAGGAACTTGTTCAGTGAGTACAATTATTCCTCTGAATCAGTGGGAGCTTGGTTCTAGGACCCCCTCGGACACCCAGATCCTTATACTCAAGTTCCCTCTTTGAAATTGTGTGGTATTCTCATATGACCTACACACATCTCCTGGAACACTTCAAAACATCCCAAGATTTTTTAGTATCCTGTGTAGATGCTGTCTGAATAGCTGTTATTCAGTTTAGAGAGTAATTAAAAAAAAAATCTGTATATGCCCAGTACCAAAACAACTCCCCTGCTCCAGGCATTTACAATCTGTGGTTGGTTAAATTCTTGTGCGGTCCTCAATAGAAAGGGCTAGATGATTTCACACTCCTTTGTAAGCTAGCATTTGTGGCCTAAGACTCTCCTTAGCTTTTCCTGTTTCCGCACACATTAAGGCTTCCCAGCCTCCTGCAGCTGCTGTCTATGCAGGAGAGCATTCCTGGAGTTGCAGGATATGCAGTTCAAGCACTGTTCACTGTTGTGTGACAATGGTCTGGATCCTGTCAATTGTATTGTAATAAAACACTGATTGGCCAGTAACCAGGCCGGAAGTAGAGGCGGAACAACCAGGCAGGAAATAGAGGTGGGCAAACGAGAACAGGAGAATTCTGGGAAGAGGAAAGAGTCAGTCTTCAGTGGTCACCCAGATGTAAAGGATGCAGATGAGAATGCCTCGCTAAGGAAAGGTATCAAGCCACGTGGCTAACACAGACAAGAATTATGGGTTAAGATGTAAGAAAGAATTAATAAGAAGCCTGAGCATATAGGCCAACTAGTTTATGATTCATGCAGACCTCTGTGTGTTTCTTTGGGACTGAACAACTGCAGGACCGGGCAGGACAGAAACCTCAGTCAACCATTCACTGATACTGATGTTCTTGTCTGTCCTTTGTGGCTAAAACACAGGCACCAAGTCAAACATCTAGGACACTCTCCTCAGGAGTACAGAGGCTGGAGGATGGCAGCACTGTCAAAGGCGAGCTGGCATCGTATCTGGGCCTCGCAGATATGTTATGGGTTAGAACAAAGAAGCTCTGGTTGTCTTGTATGAACCAAGCTTCCCTTGCAGTGGATTTGTGGAGGGTATATGTGTAAGAGGAGATAGAGAAGATGAGAATGAACATCTAGAAAGAGGTAGAAGGACATGGTGAATATGTGAAGCAAGAATGAGGTACAGCATGGCCACAGAAAATCTGTTGAAAATGTAGGTCTGTCTGTGACTCACAGTGGACCATGTAGAAATGGGTCTGAAAGGCAAGGATGATCACCGGGTGAACTCAGGGAGAGGAGAACCCAGTACCCTGTGCTCGGTGGACTTGAACCATTTAATTAACCTTTATGAATACGACTCTTGGATAAAGATGACTCAGTTGCTCTACTGTTGGACAGGAGTGAACCCTGTCCACTGTATATATGTTGCCTCCTTCACACCCATGAAGTCTAATATGTATAAAGTTCTAGGAGGTTTATAATAGAGCAACTATCATACTATACTGTAATATGTATGTAAATGTGGTCTCTTTCATGATTTATTTTAACTGGTGCAGATGTGTAAATCTGTGTGTGGGAGCAAGCATGTGAGTATAGAAGCCAGGAGGAAGATGCCAGCTTTCCTGGGGCTGGAGTTGCCAGGCTGTTGTCAGTAGCCTGACCTGGGTGCTGGGAACCAAATTCAGGTCATCCAGAAGAGCAACCACTAGTGAGCTCTTTCCAGCCCCTCTAAAAACACTGTACCAGCCTCTTCCTTGTGATGTGGGATGCTAAACTGCTTCCATGAGAAGAAAGTGAACGCCACAGGCACTGGGATACAGTGCTAGGTTACTACTGACCACACGATCATTTTGAGGACCATTGTGAAGCCACGGCAATGCTAACTGACCACCCCTAGCTAAAAGAGAGCTCCAGATGAGAGGTTCCACCACAATGCCATAGAGGTGTGGTGAGAAAGCCCCAGCCCTGTTGCCTGGCAACGAGAAGCAAGCAGCCTTGGTAGCATCTCCTGCACCTGGTCCCTGTGCTGAAGACAAGGCAATCAAGGAAGTTCTGTGAGTGGGAGGTGACTAGGCTGGAGCAAGCAATAGTTGTCTGTGCTGGCTGGTTTTATGTGTCACCTTAACACAAGCGGAGTCTCAGAGCGGAAGGAACATCAGTTGAGGAAATGCCTCCATGAGATCCAGCTGGAAGGCATTTTCTCAATTAGTGATCATTGGGGGAAGAGTCTAGCATGGTGCCATACCCGTGCTGCTAGTCGGGGGTTCTGTGAGCAAGCCAGGGGAAACAGGTCAGTCAGCAGCACCCTCCATGGCCTCTGCATCCGCTCCTGCCTCTGGGATCCTGCCCTGTTTGAGTTCCTGCCCTGACTTCCTTTGGTGATGAACAGCAATGTGGAAGAGTAAGCTGAATAAACCTTTCCTCCCCAAATTGCTTTTTGGTCATGGTGTTTTCATTGAAGCAATAGATGAAAATATCCCTAAGACAGTATCCAATTGCATCCACTAATCCCCCACTCAGTAGGCAGATACGAAACCTGGCCACATAGAGTTCATCCTATTAACTACCATGAATACTAACCACCGCACCCCAACGCACATGTGCAGGGCATTTTTATTTTAGAAGGAGCTGTACGAAGTTGAATTGAGAAGATTCCAGTATTTGATGCTAGATATTTGAGTATCAGAGGGCTGTGTATGGCAGAGTATTTTGGCGTTCATCTGTTGATGTGTACCTGGACATGTGGTGTTTCAGGGCCCCCGTTTACCCATTTGTCTGAGGCTACAGCATTGGCGCTAGGTCAGCTGCTCAGGACCAGTAGCGCACACTCCTCACTCTCTCAGGCTGGCTGGACTAGAAAGGGGTATCGCTTAAGCCAGGCTCATCAACTTTATGATCATCCTAATACTTGAAGATTTAAGTATTAAAAAGTGCAGTGGTTAGTTCATCTAGCCATAGGCAAACTGGCTTCCAAAGCTTCCATTGCTGCACACGTGTATCTGGCTCTTGGAGGTAGACACAGTCAGTTCTCGTGGCATGAAACCTGTTCAGTGGAGGCTTAGCATTGGTACCGACATGGGGCATGGTTTCCTTAACACAGGGTCGGAAACAGGCAAGCAGCTGTCGGTTTGGGCAAAAACAGTGGTTCAAGGTGTAGGCAGGAGGGCTGAGCATGGGAGTGGCCTTGATGGCGCACAGTTGGTATAATGAAGGTACGCCTTTGCTTTTAAACAGTTGTTACAATTCTAGGCTAAATCCCAAACGTCCTATTGAGTTTGGGTGTGCTTCACACGCTTGTGTGTTTAAATGCTAAGCCTTTAGCTGGTGGCCCTGTCCTGGGAAGCTAGGTTTGGGGACAGCATCTAGCTGGAGGCAGTGGTCCCTGGCTTAGGGAAGAGACTGGCACTGCTTTTGACTGGAGGATCTGATTTCTGGTTTACCAAGATGTAACTAGCTGTGCTGCACAGTTTAGTTGTCATGGAGACAAAACTGTAACCTCCATGCCCCCGACCATGATGGATTAGAGTCCCATAAACCATGAGCCAAAAAACCCTCCCTCAAGTTGCTGTAGACATTCTGCTGCAGAATCGAACAAGTAAGTAATACACTTACGACTCTGGATATAAATGGTAGGCCTTGCATAAATAAATGGCTCCAAATAGAAGCAGATACACAAAAATTTTTATTAAGTGGAAGTTAGACTTACTTCGTGGTGATTAACCAGTTACAGGTGCATCTAAATTCATGTGTGTGGACACCGTAGAAATCAGAAGGGTCTTACTGAAAGACCCGTATTCTGGCTTGGTTCGTGCCAGTGCAAGCCAAGGGTAGAACCATACACAGAGTCAGTACAGGTTGACGATGACGTCAGACAAGATTGGCAACACCATAGTAATTGTTACAGCTAAGCATTACAGAACATGAAAGTCCAAAGACCAGAAGACTATTTCTAGAGGGTTCTTACTCTACACCTTCCCTCCTACCACATGCTTTGAGGACCACCCAGCAAGTCCTCCTGTCTGGGGGACACACAACGGGCCAGCAATACTGTGAACTTCTGCTGGTCCTCTGGATGCCCTCTGTAAGTGGACAGCAGCCGTCCCCTTGGGAAAGTGCAGTTTAACTGGTGTGAACATTTTCTTTTGTAAATCTTGAAACTGAAAAATTTTCTTCTTTTCCAATTAGCACCAGCTTATTTTAAAATACTTTTTCCCGGTGTTAAATTTTAGGAAACATTTTGTAAAACACAAAGTCCAGAACAATAAAGGACAAAAAAAATTTTAAAAATGTGTTAGAGAAGAGCATTTAGAAAAACAACATCGTTGAAACATTTGACAAATCTATGTACAGTGGGCCAAAAGCTGGCAGGGAGCATGGCTGAGGAACAGTCTCAGAAAATGTCTCTCCCCACCTGAACCTCTGCAGGCCGTACTTACAGACAGAAACAGTATCGGAACATCTGGATTTGGCTAAAAATCTTATAAAAAGACAGGCTGCCCCTCCCCCACTAACTTCTAATAAGGTAGCAAACACATCCAGCATGACCTAAGAACCGGGTTTAGAAGCGTGTTTTCCCATATTTTACAAACAGCCTAGGAAGCTCAGCAGACACAGAGAGAACCGGAGCAGCAGAGAAAGGGAGTGCATCCCTCATTGTCAGCTGGAGGGTGGAGACAGCACTGAAGAGGAGACCCTTATCAGAGGGAAGGGCTCATGAAAACGCCTGTCAGCGGGAGGCTGAAGAGATTCGGGTATATTCTAGACAGATTTTTCAAGATATAAGTGATCATCTCTGTATAATTTTGAAAAAACTGACTATTTGCCTTGTCAGATAGTATTTTTATATTTTGTTCTTTGAAACTACAGCCTAAACTCTTTTAAGAACACTCCTACTGGGTGGAAAGTTAACCACAACAGACAGACCTTTCTACAGTTTCCTTTGCCGCTTCTTCCTATTTCCCAGTGCTGGGGACTGAAGCCAGGCCCTCGCACGAGCCAGGTCAGTGCTCTGCCCAGCCCCATCCCTGGCCCTCGTCCCCCTGTTGATCCATCTGACTACAGCACCAGTCTTTAAGGACTCAGCACAGTCTGTGAGTGCCGCACGGGCAGTGTATCCTCAGCCCCTGTACTGGCTAGAGTTTGTTTTTTGCTTTTTCTGAGTCCGGAGCTCAGATGAAAGTCTGGATGCACTGTCTTTGAAACCATTGGACAAGAAAACAAAGGCACCCCACACCCTTATGAAGATTTGTATTCTCATTTATTTTGAATAATCTGTAGTTGTGATAAGTTTCTATGAAAAAAAAGTTCTTGGATTTGATATAAAATACATGTTTCTCTTTGAAAATGCATAGTTTATAATTTTATACATTCACTCATTATTAAAGACTTTGTAAGGAAGTACTTACCCCTGAATGATGGCAAGATTGTACCTCGAAAGACCTCTACGTATGCTGGATAGCACTGCCGTGACGCCTTCGGTCAGTGCCTGTCCGAGCTCATAGCTGCCATCCCAGTGCCCCAGAAGCCACTCCCTCCACTTCAGTTTGGCTTCTGTTATGAGACAGCATTTTCCCTAACTACCCCACTTTAAATATTCGGTAACTTTTTCCCCAGATATTTTGGTGTAGAAAACAATTTCAAAGGTGGCTCACCTTTAACATCAGAGTTTGCGTGTAAATCCCACCACTAAGGGCAACGGAGGACCTGCAGCTAACAGTCCCCCCTCCAGCCCCTCATGTGCAAACAACGACCACAGGCCGCTTGACATTTGCTTTTGATGGTAACCTTGAACCCTTTGGGGCCTAGCGCATATTCTTACCCTGAGTTCTTCCATTCATATGGGACTTTGCTATGAAGTATTCTGGAAACTTACACTAGGGCATATGAGCTGATCCACAGAATGTTTGAGTGGCTGACCACAGTCCAGCCATTAATTACAAAAATAGGACTTTTAGGTCGATCCACAGGTCTGACTCATGTTTACACCCAGGGCATTTTTAGTTGCCATAAGAGCCGTGTGCACTGGGAGGTACCATGTGCTTTCTGCAACCTTTGGACTTCATTGGAGCTTCCTCCAGTAGGGACACTGGGCTTGATGATGCCATGTCTCAGCCGCTGACTTCCAGTAAGAACATAAAGGCCTCAGACTGTCACCTGTCAGTTTGGGGATGGATCCCCGAGGGTAACTCAAACTCAAGAACAGCCAAAAGCCCTTAGGGCGCCCTTTTTCATTTCTGTCGTGTTACCTATGCCTGAAATAAGGGGTGGTAAGGGATGAATGTTTAACAAGGGGAACAGATTGAAGTAGTTTTGCTTTCCAGACACAAAACATAAGCAGTTCTATCCCAAAGGCACCCCACCATCACACAGGGAAGGCCAATCCCATCCCTGCACTCCTATCCTCAGGCAGAAGCCAGAGCCTGGAAGGTTTTCATCTGAGGCCTCCCTTCTAATGCAGACACAGGTGTCAGCACCCTCTGCCTGGCCAGCTCTCACCTCTGTGCTAGAGTCCTAAGCCACAGGGGAGGCAGGGCCAGCGACTTCTCTCAGGGAGTCTGAAATGGATCTTCTGTGCTCAGTGTGTTAGGATGGTGCTGAGGGAGACAGACCTGTTCAGACAGGGACCGGCACTTTCCCTGAAGGATGGCGGTAGTCTCTGCTGAGCAAGATGAGCAAGACAGGGGTAAGCATCCATGCCCTGGGTGGAGACTTCAGAGGAACAGCCAGAAAGCAACCAGTGAATGGCTCAACCCTGGCTTTGGAAATGAACCAAGACAACTCTCCGTCCTCTGGGTTGGGGAGATGAGGACTTAAAAAAGGACTAAAAAAGTGTCCACCAGACAATCTGCATACTGCTGCCAGGTGGCTGAAAATGGCCATTAGCTGGGAACTTCTCCCAGAGTCGCCACGTTCCGTCTTCTCTGGGACGCTGGTTTCCTCTTCAGCTGTGGACAGTCAATGCAGACAGAAAGGGGAGGTACCTTGGTTTCCCCAACTGTTTCTGTCTTTAATGATAGCTCGCTTGCCTTTTTCAGGGGTTGCCATGTTCCACTCTGGCTATTTTTTTTTTAATTAAATTTTGGGGGAATTGATCCTACTAAGGAAGTCTAACAGTCAGCCCCCAGGATGGCTTTCTGGTGGTACTGCAGCTCGAGGGGTGCTGTCTTCGAGTGCTGACAAGTCCATGGATAACGCCACAGAGGAAGAACACTAAAAAGAGGACTAACTATTTAATTCTGAACCTTACCTCAAAGTCTAGTTATTTGCTTTGTTCTTGTTCATGATTACTAGGTTCTTTCTATGTGTGCCAGTAACACCAGTGCAAATCTATACAACAGGCTGTCTTTCCATCACGTAGGAAAGGGCTAAACCATTCTGCCTCCAAGCACTGAATTACTTAAAACAGTATGGCATCGTTAATAATAATAAATGACCCTGCTAATGAACTAGGTAACAGGTCAATACAGGTTTCTGGGCGCTCCTTCTAGTCCTCTGACAAAAGTCCTTGTGAACTTTACGCTGAACTGGGGATGCTCCAACTCAGCCTGGCACACAGAGCCTTGGATGAAGGACATTCATACCCTGGACAGCCTTTTACTCATCCCAGTGGATGCAACCCCAAACTTTGCCTGCACTGTTTAACGTACATTCAAATATAAATGCATGGAGTATGAAAAGCTAGGTGCCAGCAGCAAAGTATTTTTCCCCCAAGGAGTCAAAATTTTTTATTTAGAATATTGCTTTAGCTAATAAATTCCTTGGTGACCAGCATGGTAGTTGTAGCAAGGGGGTACACTTGGGGATGACTACATTTGCACTTAGTAACACAAGTGACCGTGCTATTTACTTCTGCATGGAGAACATGGCGGCCTCTTGAGTCACTCTGGACCACAGCCAAGCCAGTCCCTTCTTCCCTCTTTGCAGGTAACGATGGTGCTGACTCACTGGGTTCAAGACTACTCTGGACTGCCATGGATTGGGGGAGTGACCTTAGCTTTCTACACTAGGTTCTTATGAAGATCAAAGGAAATAATGTCTGAATGAGACAGGTTTCACCATAAGGGCTGTCCCAATAACATCAGGACTTCAATATAAGATAGACTTAAAAATAATGTAATGAAAATCTATCCAGCCTCCACCCCCACATAACAAAGTTATTCTCATTTTGATTTTGTCGTCAAAGATGTGATGGTTTTCTATGTGGAAAAGCTTCCTTTTAAGGGAATGGGCACCCCAAACACTCAATGCCTATTAGTGTGGAAGGACCTTGACGGATCAGAGCTGAACAAGGATAAGAGTGGTCTGGGAAGCAAGGAGAGAAGGCAGAGGGCTTTGGCATAAGAGGCGCCATGTGTCACCTTCAAACTTGAGGGGCACCTGGCGGTCTTCTACAAAGGCACAAGACTGCTTTCCGTTTTGTCTCGCCAGCCCTTCATCACAGTGGTCACGGTAGCAGACATAGTAAGATCAGGATCACAGCTACTTAGTACTTTGGGGTGTGGCCTGGACGTGCCAGGAGGCAGCTCTCAGCAGAGCTGGGAAACGACTTAGTACGTCCTGATTGGGGCAAGGCTGACTAAGAACATGACGTGACTATGTTGCCGTCCATGAGAATAATCTCTCGAGATATTGCTCAGACTGTGCCCTCATGTCCATTCTGTGGTGCTCGGGGAAGAACGGGGCCTGTCAGCCAAGGAATGTGGGACTGACTTCCAGAGCTCCAACTGTGGCACGAGATGCCTCTGTACCCACGCAGCTTTTCTTTGGTCTCTAGTGCTGGCCACGAATGTGTGTTGGTGGCCAACACTGAACTGTCAGGTGATGCCATGTCTCCAGCTGGGATCCAGCAACCTGGCCTGATGTCTGTGGGTTCTGATAGTCAGAAGCTCAGTGGGGCTCAGTGTGGGTGTTCCTTCTCAGAAGATGTCAGCTGCATAGCTGACATCATCTCCACCATTCCCTGATGTGCACTGACCGTCTACAGGACTTGTCCAGGCATCCTAAGGCAGCCTCTGTACAGAAGCTTCTATTCGCAGGTGGAATGAGACACACACAGTGCAAAACCACGTAGTTGTAAACACTGCTGGGCACTCTGGTGCTCCTGGTGGTGCCAGGACAGACCGGCTGCCTCAGGCTGTGCAGTTATTATCCTCATTGAACAGATCTAACCCTTATGTGGAACTATGGCTGCCCTGATCACTGGCTGAGTTACCCAACAAGTGCTCGGCTGTCCTGCTGTGTTTGCAAACTTAGCAAAACTGGACTAGCTTTACGATCACTGACCGCTTGGAAGGAAAAGACGACTTCTTTAACAGTGCGTGGGCTTGAGGATGTGGGGCGGCTTAGATCCCAACTCTCTGTAGGTCCCTGTGTGGTTCTTATGTCCCACGGGAGTACTGCCACCTTCTGTTCACAACCTTGTGTGCCTGGGAGGTTTTCATCGTGAAAAACAAAAGTCAAACAAAGCAGTTATTCTGACGAGGAAATTATTCAGTCGGTGCTGAGAATAAAATCGTCTCAAACGCTGACTGGTTACAAGTTCTTTGGGTGTGTATCCTATGAGTCTAGCCATTCCCACCAAATGATACTTGTTCATTAAATGCAGGCATGTAGCTCCAATAGACCAACAGGAGAACTCAACACAACTAATTTACACTAGAGGGATACTTTTTCCATAGCCTAGGAGTCTATCTGCTAGCATCTCCTCTTATGTTTAATATATAGAAAGCGAATCTTCACATGACCCCCCCCCCCATGCTCCGAAAACACACTGATAAGGGGAAGTTGCTGCTACGTCGATTCTCTTGCAAATAACCTTTCTGTCTGTTCTGCATTCCGCCCCTTGCTCAGAGGGTTTAAAAGGTACGCATCAAAACACTTGCTTAAAAGAGGCATAGCCCTTGGATTGGTGAACAGGAACTGTGTACGATATCAACACTTCCTGTCAGTTAAAATACTGCATTTTTAAAAATAAGCTACAATGTATAAAACCAAGGTCATTTCCCACAAAGTGTTCATGTTCTGTGATTATAAAACACTGTATCTTGTAAAATATTTCCAGTTCTGATAAACTTGAGAAGTACTAACGCTCATTATAAAAGTGACATGTCTCTTGTAGATGCTGAAGCAGTATATTTCTTTCATTTGGAAACTTAAGTTGTAATTATTATTGTACTTAAGATTATATCACACATTACAATTGTGATCCTCAGACCCACACAACAAAAGTTATAAAACACGAGATTGTCTTCGGAAAACAAGGAGCTATTTACAAAACAGGACAGGAGACGAAACTCTCACTTTGCTCGTCCTGTGGCAGGTACACTCTTTAAAGCATCACTGGAAATGGACCTTTCCAATGTCAGTCAGCAGAAGCAAGTCAGTCGTGAGTACATTTCGTACTTTCTTGCTCTGTTGGTGTGCGTTACTCAGGACAACTGGTACCTAAAAGTGCTAACCTTACTGAATTTACTAACTTCCCATTTGGCTAAATTTCTACAATGCAGAAAAGACAGGACAAAATGGCTGCAACATGGAGAAATCCCCACAGGTGGAGGACAGGGGAGCCTGTGTGCTGCTGGTGGGTTTCTTCCAGAAATAAACTTTCCAGTTGACTCATATGCTAGCATGCCCCACGCCGTAAGACCCGCGCCTCCATGCTACCTGCTGTGTCGCCCATTTGTATCTACTGCCACAGGTCAATGCTACAGATGACACGGGTGGTGGGAACCCCACAGGATGTGAGAAAGAGCAGCACCTTGTTCACGGTAGTGTGCTCCTCAGCATGGCACTACAGCGAAGCCCGGGTCTCCAACAGCGCTCTTTCACCTAGGGAACGCTGTGCAGCGCTGATCAACAGCTGCGCAAACAACTGCTGATTACAACAGGAACAGCGAGGCTCCTTGTTCACAATCACATTCAGGGAAAGTTTCACCGTGTCTACGAATACCCAGGTTCAAACACCAGTCAGCTTTAGGTCGGCTACAAAAAGACAGTGGGTGCATCTGCCACACCTCACGGAAGCTGACACGGTCCAGTTGGCATGGATTTGTCTTGAAATGATACTGAGTTCACATGAACCATAAAATTCCTCCTCGTCCTGGGGTTCTCCAGATCTGTCTTCACACATCCTTCCTGCTTCCCTGAGGAAATGAGCAGTGTTACAGTATTCTGCTCCTGCGCAGATACAGTCCTCACCTCCTTCTCGAACCTCCTCCAGTGAGGGCCACCCTTGTTGTGCAGTGCAGTTGAAGTGAGAGATGAAATGGACTCTTGCAAGGCTGGCTCACTAGGAGCCCAGAGATGACAGACTTCAACTTCTGACATCTTGAATTGCAATGGGGAACAATTCAATTTCAGAATTTTTTTGCAACATACATGTGACCATCTCTGAAGAGAGTGCTATTATTTACTGATAATGCTCATTTGGAGCTTGGTCACAGGAGGCAGGGGATCATCTCCTAAGGAAACCTCTTGGCCATGGAGCTGTCAAGAGTCATTGTAAAGCCCACTCTGCTTTGGAAACCCATTGCTTTCTTCCTGACGCTGGCTTTTCTCACTCCACAGAGAAACTTCTGGACAAAAGATGGCAGAAGGGTAAGCCTGGACAAAGCAGCTCCTGTCCTGTTTCAGACAGTTGCAACAGACATGGAGGATGCCTGGCTGCTTAGCCCCAAGATGAGCTGGAGGCAGGCGGGCTCAGGTCTCCTGCACTGCCTCCTGGACATACTTGCTTCCCTGGGGGTTTTCTCCATGTTGTCTCGCTGACTTCCATACACAGTGTTCATCCTCCAGGAAGGCTGAGGCTGGAAACTACTGCCTGTCGCGCCCATTGCGCTTGCTCTGCCTGGCTATAGAATGTGCTGTCAGTCACTGAAATAGCTTCCCAGGGAGAAATGAGAAACCTGTTTTGGAGAAAGGGACATCACGGAAGAAAAAGAATCAGACATTTCCACTGGACAGGAATTCAGTGCGCCACCCCTCCTTTGTAGACAGGGCTGTTAGCCCTGGGGATGCACAGAGCTGCAGGCTAGCAGCCAGCTCGCCTGGGATACGTCTTCTCATCCATTCTCTCTTTGCTTCTCCACAAAATGCAGACACAAAAAGAACTTAGCTTCATGGAGATGGCATCAGATGAAAAGTCAGGCTTCATTTGGCACTTCATTTGGTTCCCCAAATAACAAAGTAACTACTTAAAAAAATGTAACTCATAACAAAATGTAACTCATATAATCAGCAACTGTATGTTGCAATTCAGAGCTTTCTGGTTCCCTGGAGATTGCGCCCTTCCACACTGGGAACGGGCAGCATGTGTGTCCAGAACTGACCTCAGGATTTGTCTGCACCTGGAAGCCCGATGAGGGCTGGCCATGCAGAAGAGCTGGTGTGATGAAGGCTGCAGAGGACAGGAGGGACCCAGGCTCCGCTGAAATGTGCAGTTATGCACACCCTTGGGCTGTGTCTGGGGGAGATGGCCACGACACCTTGCTTAAGGATTGTTCTCATGCAGAGAGCATTCCTTCACCCCGAAGTCCTTTAGGAGAAGATGGATTTGACTTCACATCATTCCAGTATTTTGATTAAAGTCTTCATCTGAGATAAAATAAATTCCAGGGAACTTTGCTGAGGAGAAAAACCTCTGGCCCAGGGTCCATCTATTATTTAAGCACAGGGTGAGCTTGATCAGACAGCTGGCCATGACAATCTGCGTGTGGCTCAGGACTTCTTGGACCAGCTAGGACATCACTTCACAGCAGAAACTACAGGAGATAGGAGAGAGGACATACCCAGGAGGAGGGGGAGCAGGGAACACCTCAGCTCTGTGTTTAAAAAAAATGCTGTTTCTTGGGTACAGGTCAAAACACCCAGGAGAGCCAGTGCGCTGATGTCGACTATCAGCCTACAGGGAATCAGATAGAGCACATTTTCTTGTCTCTTGAAATAAATTTTTTTCTTTTAAATACCTGAAGGTACAGATCAGGATCTCTTTCAAGAAATAATCTTGTAGAAAGTCACATGAATTTAAAAAATAAGATTGCCAAAATACATGAAGGCAGAAATTCAGGGTGTTGCGCTGCAGAACCTCCATATGACCCTAACATAAAAGGCGTCTCTGATTGCTAGATGACTTCTTCCCACTCTGTAAAAAAGCGCTATGTACAATCTTTAAACATATATTAAGCTTTTCTCTGTGCAATTTCACTTAACATTCGTATGGCTGACACCACGCCCCCACCCCAGTGCCTCCTCTAAGGTGCTCTTACTTTGCATAGGTACAGGACATCCAGTTCTTTAAGCAGGGCAGAAGTGTTCCGACGAGGCTTGGTGGCTGCCTGCCACGCTCCAGCCCTCAAACACACAAGTCCACTGATTTAGACATTCCATAGGCATCCAGTGCAAGCCCTGGCCCTACTAGATAGGGAGAGTCCTATACCAAGATGCATTTTCCTTTGGGCATCCTGTAAGTTAATTTCTGAGCAAATTCTTAATTCATCTCTCTAATATTTTTGTAAGAAATGAAAGGTTTCGATCTGTTATCCATATATGCCACTCTGTCCACTAACTCACCCATGACATGTGGAGCATGCCATGGATAAAAGTGCACTCAGAAGGGAGGTGGATCTGCTGCCCTGGTGGAGCTCTCTCACAGACGGGGGCATGACAGCCACGCTCTGCCTAGAGCACAGCTGTGAGGCAGTCTGGAGATTTCCACCTGGGCAGGGTTTGGAGGGCAGGATGACAACCCACGGTCCTGGCCACAGATTGACCAGACACAGCCGGGCACACTGCCCCAGCTGCAGTTCCTGTGACATTTCTGAAAGAAGCGGCGAGGCTTACCAGATGGCCCCGGTGCCAGCTCTCACCTGAGCTGTGCCAGGCACCACCACTTGGGGGCCAAGGACGACTCCCAGATGCTTTCTGAAGTGGCTCGTGGCCTCAGCCTGCAGCTGAAGTTTGCCTGTGATTCCCACTGCCAGTCACTTTTGGCCTCAAGCTACCTGGGGCTCCAAGCTACCATCTTTACAAGGTTTCTGCTTGGGTCCTTCGTGAAAACAAAACAGACACAGAAAAAGACAGCCAGACTGCAGCTCTTTCTTCAAATACATCATGATCCAGACTGCTCTAAGCAGCTGGCTGGAAAACAGGAAGACGCCTATTCACAAGGTGGGTTATCCTTTGTACAAATGCTAGCTAATATCATGTAGCTTATGAATGTACTGTTTACGTGTCAAAACCCCTTGAAAATACCACAATTCAGAAAGCTTATCAAAATCTTTCTAGGTAAAATGGCCTGGTTGGTTAGGTTGCTACAGAAGTCCAGTTTTAAGACCAGACAGAGAGTAAGCAAAGTTACTTTTCTTTTGAAGGAAAAAGTCACTTTTGCTGCTCTTGTCTGGGCTCTCAGAGCAGTGCAGGTGCTGATATTTTTTTTTTTTTTTTTTTGCTTTAATTCCACCATGGAATTATATTCCCAGAATTCCAGGAAAGGCTTTCCCTGGGCCTTGAATGGCTTCCTTTGGAAGGAGAGGCTTTCTCACCACCCGTCGTGAGAGTGGGGCAGGGATGGCTCAGTCGATGAAGCGCTGGCACGCCTTCTTCCAGCGGCAGGCGGTGCACCACATGTCCCGGTTTTCCATCCCATAAACCTTGCGGCACTTTTTGCCTTCACCTCTGGGCTTCCTGTAGGACAGACAGCACAGATGTGTTCAGGGACAGGGCCTTCTGGAGAGAGTTCAGAAGAGCGAGGGGGCAAGAGAAAGACAAAAGCCTGCCCAGAGGGAGCAGAAGCTCTCTGCAGGCTGGGTATTTGCCCGGCCGCTCTACTTAAGCTGCTCCTAAATTTCATTCATGGAAATGTCCATCTGGCCATTTTGTAAGGTTAAGGAAGTAAACACAGGAGTTAGGGACTGGGAAGAAAGCAGCTGCTGTTCCAGCATGAGGAGTAAGTTTGGACCGCCAGAACCTGAAGAGCTGACCATGACAGCATGCGTCTGTAATCCTAGCACTTACACAGCATGGCGGGAGGCGCGGACAGGGAGATCCCTGCAAGCTCTCGGGCCAGCTTGCCTGGCATATGCGGTGGGTGAATGAGAGATCCTGTCCAAGTTAGGCGGTAGGACCAACACCTGAATCTTCTGACTTACCCAGGTGCACCATGCATATATTCATACTCATGTATCAGCATGTAGCTGTGCGCGCGCGTGCGCGCGCACACACACACACACACACACACACACACACTTTTCTGCTCCCCCAAATACCCTGCCTCCTGAAAAACAAAAACAAACAAACAAGCATGGAATGGCAGGGAGCAACACTGCTCTTCCAAATTTTCAGTGTGCCTTTCTTTCCTTTCCGGTGTTCTGAGATCTGGTTGGAGGCTCCCCAGGAGACTCTCCTGGAACTAGATGCAAACCATAAACTGTCACTCATGTTACACAGAGTTAGTGCAGGACAGCGACCATTACCTACCCTACCAATGGAAGTGCTCTTCACGAGCTGTGGGAATGAAAGAAAGCAAGCATGCTTCATGGGTTGGGGAGAAACTACAAAAGGTCGTGGAACCAGAAGGTTTTGGTTCCTTTCTGCTATTTTCCCATCTCCTAGGAAATTCCCTGAGGTGAAGTCTGCAGCGTCAAGCAGTCATACCTTAGGCTGACTGTCCCTCTGGGCGGGGAGGACAGGACCGTGTGAGCGTGCTGCCGCTGCTCTCCTGAGCCCACTGGGTGGTGATGTGTTGGAGACACCTGGGGAACACAAGGAAAATCAGGTTGACAGGACAGACTCTCCCACATAGCTATTAGGCCTCAGTGGTGTGGGCAAGGGTCCGTGCGCAAAAAAACATGGAGACGGACAGTTGATTTTCAGCTGTGGGAGTTAAACAGGCAAGGCCGGAGCTCTGTAGCTGGAGGAATAAAGGCTAAGCTGACCAGGTAAGGAGGATCCTGCTGATTGGTGTCCCTGTCCCAGACCCCACAGAGTAGGGGACGTGCACACTCCTTCTCTCATTATTAGTATCTTCCAAATGCCCATGGAAAAGCACACGAGGTTCGGAGCACACAATGGCTTTTCTAGCTCTAAGCTCCACACAGTTCCACACTGCTACCCTCAACACCAACATGGCCAGGGCTACCAGGGTGGCCACTCTCTGCTGCCACTTGCATGTGGGTCCAGGGACAGCCCTCAAGCTTGTCATCTGATGCAGCAAGCATTTACCACCCAGGATCTCGTCGGCCCTGCTCTATACATATTTAATCTTCGTTTTGTACCTCAAACTCTTTCAAAAGTCTACCTTGAAGTGTATTTTACCAAGTATAAAACATACTTTGTAGTACTATGGATGGTATTAGATGCTATTATTTATAAATGAATACAATTATTAGGCTATGTGACCACAACGTGTGTTTACTGAGTAGATAATGGCATAGTGTTTGAAATCACAGCTAATCTCTCCCAGGCAGTGAGGACACTTGAGCTATACGGAGCACTTTCTAAACAGGAAGTCTGACTCCGTTGTTCTCAGTAACAACAGCAGTAAGCGTAAGCATCTCTCGCTAGCCCCATGCCAGGCACTGTGCTGAGCAACACGAGGTTGCTTTAGAAAAGCCCTGTGCCTGGCTTGAGATCAGAGTTCGTGGATGCTAGAGCCAGGGATTTTAACTGTGTCTCACATGGGAGCAATCATATGGATTCGTGGTGCCTCTCTGTATGTATTTTAGAGAAAAATCCTTGTGATCTTCTCTTTCTCACAGTGACTGGAAATCTCTCAGGAGCATTTGCAACCCTGTCTCTAGGCAAGCAGTTGCACTAGCTACTTTTCCTGTGACTGGGACAGAATACGTGACAGAAACAACCCTTCATATCAGAACTACAACACTACCCCAAGTGAAGCATGGGCTTTCTACTCACTTCCTCCCACTTTTGGGAACATGTAGCTCAGGCTGGTCTCAAATTTACTATGTGGTTGAGGTTGGCTGTAAACTCTTGATTTTTCTGTCTTTATCTCTCAAGTGCTGGGACTAGAGGTATATACCAGCATGCCTGACCTCCCCACTTCTCCTAAAATTTTATGTTGGAAATTTAAATCCTCAGTCTGGGTGTGTTGAATGATAAACCCTTTAAGAAATCAAGGTGAGATGAGGCCATAGTGTAGGGCCCTGATCCAATAGGACCAGTGTTGTTATAAGAAGAGATGCATGCACGCATGCACACACCTCAACAAGACTAGATACCAGAGGGCTGGCATGCATGTGCCCCTTCTCTCTCACTGTTGGCCATACACACTGAGGAAAAGCCAAGTGAAGGCAGAGCTCCAATGGCAGATGTCTCCAAACCAGGAGTAAACAGTCAACAGCCTGATGTTGGACTTGCGGCTTCCAGGAAGGAACCGGCTGCCGATTACACTGCCTACCGTAGGCAGTTTTGTTGTGGTAGCTTGAGACGAAGGGACCAAGACCTCTTAGTTTTCAGTCAAAACAACAGAGAGCGGCATTGTGTAGCTGTGAAAACCAGAGGCCAGCCACCAGGACAAGAGGAGAAGGAAGGCAGTGGTAAGGACGGCCTGCTCCTCCTGCACACCCCCAGCTCAGGCTAGCCAAGGGCAGCGGTGTCTGCACAAGAGTCTCCATGGCCATATACCGGGAAGTGCTCGCACAAAAGTCAGCAGAAGCCTGCAGCCCTGGGGGCTGCTCTAGGGCTTCCTCTAGGAGTGTCCTCAGGGCTCTCTTCAATACCAGAGCTCAAAGTGCAGAAGGAAAGGCACCAGTGACCCAGGGTGACCACCTAGGGGTATCTGTCTCAGAGCACAAAGACAGAAGAAATGTCTATAACATAGAAACCACTGGGTTTGGAATTTTTAGACAGACTCATCCTTAATGTTCTTTATAATTTAAAAACTTGAGAGTTGCTATCTAAAACCATTTTAGAGTAGGGAACTTCAGTCATGTTCTTGGGTTCTGCCCGGCTCCCTACTTTCTAGGGGTTAGGGCGAGCCACTGGTTGGCACAAAGTCCGTGGACATGCCAACCCTGCGGCTGTGGGATGGACTGTTCAGAACGCCCGCCCGCCCACGGGGCAACAGGCCAGCAGGCTCCGACTCTTTTCTCTCTGAAAGCACCGACAGGGCACGCAGGAGCATAAGGAATACTATTTGTGCTCCATTCTTGTCTTTCTAGAGTCCAGCAAAGCTTTTAAAAATACACCAGACCCTTAAAATAGGAACGGCAAGTCTGACTGCTGTGGTGTTTACCTAAGTCTCGGCCAAAGCAGATTACAAACCAGAGAGACTGGAAACTCTCTGGTCTAAGAATAAATCAGAAATGGGGGACGGAGGCTGGGAGAGACTCAGTAGTTGATAGAGTGCCCATGGTGTAATCATGAGGACTGTAGTGTGGAAGCCAGCACCCCTGTAAAATGGACACAGCGACACCTGTAGCCCTCGTGCTAGAGGTGGGGCCGGCAGGTCCCCGGAGCTCACTAAGCAGCAGTTTAACTAGATACGTGAGCTCCAGGTACAGAGACCTGCCTGGAACAAGAAGGTGCAGAACAACGGAGGAGGACAACTGGTATCCACTGTCTGCACACCTTGTGCACACACATGTATACATGCATATGTATGCACACGCACATGCACACACACGGATATAAAATGTATATAAACAACAACAAAAAAACCACACAACAAAATGAAAAGGATAAATGAGAAACAGCCACAGGAGGCAGAGTTTCCAGTTAACCCAGATAGTGTATGTAAGTGCAATCTCGCTGCTAGAATGTCCCTGGAAACTAACACAGAAATGAAATATTTTGTAAATAAATATGTAAGTGAATAAGTAAATAAACCAGGAATTCCTTCAGGCCTGGGGTGGTGGCTCCCAAAAGCTGAGCACTGGGTGTTAACTGACAACTCACTGGACCAAAAGACAGGGCCAGTTCATGGGGGAGGATTAAGACTGAAGGTAGAGACAGCCACAGTGTTCATAGAAGACTTCGAAGATTCATTGTTGGAAAACAAACACCATAAGGAATCCTGGCTGGCATCCTGCAGAGATATTTAGGAACTGGGAGGACAGACAGCTGGTTAAAACCCAGAATGAGATCTCTATGACAGTTTAATTTAAAAACAGCCCAGTAGAAGCTACGCATGGTGGAGCCCGAGGCAGGGTAGCGAATTCAACATTTGCCTGGGCTATAGTGTGAGTTTAAGTTCAACCTGAACAATTAAGTAAGATCCTGTATCAAAATAACAACTGGAAAGAGAGACGTGGCTTCACAGTGGAGCATCTGCCTGGTGCACGAGGCCAGAGTGAGGTGGAAAACAAGAGTTTGGACTGTTGCGGCAGCGGTGAGGAAACCCGAGGCTCTCCTGTCTCACTCTACCCTTATTTTTACACCAGATGAACGGCCGAGTGCCAGAAAGTCTTCCTGCATTAAAGCAGAAGCTAAGGAGCTGTCACTGCGGGTCTGCAGCTTTCAGTCTAGGTGCGACTGTGTGTCTCCTAGAGCACACACTCTGGGTGTTTCTGGGATGGCTTTCCAGAAAGGCACCAGGGAGCGCGTAAAACCTACCTTGAACCTGGGTTCCTGTGGCTTGGGCCCGGAAAAAGACTGGATGTGAGTGGAGCACCAGTGTTCATAACTCTCTGCTTCAGACTGTGGACACAACACGGCCAGTCACTGCCACACCCAACACCACCACGGTGGATACAACACAGCCAGTCACTGCCACACCCAACACCACCACAATGGATACAACATGGTCATTCACTGCCACACCCAATGCCACCAGTCACTGCCATACCCAACACCACCATGGTGGACTGTGAGACCAAATAAACCCTTCCTTCCTTAAGTTACTTTTGTTGTGATTTGGTCATAGCAACAGGGAAAGTAACTAAATGCGCTAGGCTATCAAAGAAGGCATCTTAGCCCCCCTTTCTGCTGCTGTAATAGAATACCCTGGAAAGACATTATTCTGGTCCATGATTCAAGGGCACACTCCACTATGATGGGAAAGCCAAGGCAGTGGGAACTTGACACAGGGACACATTGTGGCCACAATCAGGAGCAGGGAATGATGGATACACACTCATCTCTTGTCGAGTTCCCTTCATTTATACTGTCTAGATTCTCAGCTAGGAAATGGTGCCAACCATGGCAGGCCAGCTTCCCATTTCTCTTTCTATGTTCTTTTCTGCCTGCCTATTTCCCCGACCCCTACCGCCACTATCCCCAGTTTTCCCATTCTTATCAACACAAGACAGTCTCCCAAAGGCATGTCCGGAGGCCTGCCTCCCAGGTAATTCTAGATTCTGTCAAGTTGGCAGCACTACCCATCACAGATGGGCTAATGGCAAAGTGCAAACGGCAAGGCACTCTGGGCCTTTTTATGTCTCCCAAGGGAAAGTCCTGAGAGGAAGTGGTTCTTATCCAATAGGAACAGGAGTAGACAAATGTCTGTGCTACAAACAAAACTAATGCAAGAGTGTCCACGGTCACTCCCTGAGAGTGGCCAGGGGTTACCACTATTCAGTGACTTTAGTAATTATTCCATGTTTATGGCAGTGTTTGAGAAATCACAGGAGTATTTTCTGGAAGCCAGCAGGAGGCCATTTGCTGTCACCAATCCCTTTGTTGAGTTTGGTAAATATTAATGGGCAGAACACAGCACAGTTATTCATCCTTAGGAGCTGAAACCTCTAAAACTTTCTGGGGCTTGCCAAGGAGTTGCTTTGTGTAAGTGCGGGAGGGGTGAGGTAGGGGAGAAAAAAATAAGGTTTTAACATCTGCTATTGTTAGCTTAGTTCTGAGCCGCATCGGGAGTCACACCTGCTTGTGGAGATGGGGACAGTGCAGGTCAGTCTTGGAGAAAACTAGGTCGAATCCAGAATGTTTTAAAATGAACTGTTAGGAGCCAAGTAAATCCACAGTGGTTTAGCAGGATCATTTAATACATTGAGCTAATTTTTATTTAGCACCTAAATATGGCTGCACTTGTAGCATTCATTTACTTTATTTTATTTTTGCTTAGGCTTTGAAAGAAAAAAAGTGATTTCAATTTATTTAACTTTTGGATCTTCAAATGGCATACCTCCAGGACAATATGTCAAATTAACATGTAATGGTAAACAAGCTCTGTAGGAAGGTGGGTCAAACTGTTCACTCTACAGTCCTTGGAGATGCACACAGCGCAGCCCAGTATCACCAGCTAACACGCTCTTCTGGCTTCCTGAAGTATCAGGCAAAGCATCTTTTCCCAGAGACGCTGCACCCACCTCAATTACAATAGCTTGCCCATGAATCTACAAGTGTCAATTCAGGACAATATGCCTGGGATTGGAGAGATGGCTCAGTCATTAAGAGCACTGATTGCTCTTCCATAGAGGACCTGGGTTGGATTCCCAGTACCCACATGGAGGCTCACATCTGTAACTCCAGTTCTAGGGGATCTGACGCCCTCTTCTGGCCTCCACAGGCACTGTATGCATGTGGTGCACAGATATATAAGCAAGCAAAACACACATACAAATAAAATGAAAAATAAAGCAATTTTAAAAAAGAAGGAAGCATGTGCCTCTGGAAATCGATGTGATGCGTGCACCTGTAATATCAGCGTTCATGGGGTGGGGACAGCAGTCATATAGGCCATCCTCAACTACATAGGGCTAACCCGTGGTGGTGCTCTGGGCACCAACTCCATCTTTCTCGTGTCTGTCCCACAGTTGGCTCTCTCAGTGTCTATTTGGCTCACCTCTCCATGCTTCGGTACTTACGGGAATGCCGGTGAACGTAACCGGAGGAGACTGCCAGGAAATGCTGAAACTGCTGCCATTGGGGGTGAACTTAGACCCCGGAATGGTCACCGGGGGCGTGGCCTGTGAGACAGGAAGCAGAGAGGGCTGTAGGAAAGACTGACTGTCCAGGGTCTTGGCCCTCATTACCAAAGCTGGGCTACGGGGACAGGCAGGGTAGCTCTGGTAACATACACTAGCAGGCGGAGACTAAACAGAGCCATAGAGTAGCCAGAAACAAGCCTTTCATATACATATAAGCAATCTTATATATGCTTATGTAGAAGCAATCTTATTCATACGCTTCAATCTACTTGAGGCATAGGACATGGCTTTTGGCTCTCAGTTTCTGAAATTTAATCACCAAATTTTTGGACATATACAAGTACTTCTTGATATCAAATCAAAAAATAAATACCTGAACAATACATTTGGAATACATGTGAGTTATAAATATTTTATAAGTGTAATTTAGTGATATACATTGAAATTCTCATTGTTTTGCCCATCAGACACCTCACGTTTAAGGGTTGATTCTAAGAAAATGGACACAACAATATTTGCTGCACAATCGTGTATTCGGAACATGCTTGGAGGCTTGGCCAGTGATGTGGTTCAGCAGGTAAAGATGCCGACTGACAAGCCTGAAGCTCTGAGTTTGATCCTTAGGAGCACAGAGTGGAAGGTCCTGTGACCTCTTCATGTACAATGTCAAATGTGTGTGCATACACATGTACACAAAAGAAATGCAAGTTTAATAAAAAAATTTAAAATTGATCAAGTAGCTATAATGGAGACGACAGAAGTCTATATAGAAAGTGTTTGCATCTGTCTTCTCCAGGTTTACTTGTTTTTATGAATTACAAATACTCCAGCTAGTTATGGTGGCTGTGTGCTGGCACCATTGGGAAACACGTTGGCAGTAGATAGAAATACTCATAAACTCTTCGCTCATGTTCTTCATCACTCAATAATGAAATGACACTGCTGGGAATTACAACGAGAGCTAAAAAAGCTACAGGCAGAGAATGTTCATAGTAGCCCACCCCCCCTTTTTCTTGTTTTTTATTTGTTTTTTGACCTAGACTAGCCTCAAACTTGTTAAAATCCTGAGGCTGTCTCCACCTCTCAAGTGTTGGAATTACAGGCACGTAATACTATGCCCAGCTCCATGTGGTCACGACAATGGAAAGAAAACCATGGTAGTCAGTCACATAAATTATCAGAATGATTAAAATGATTATTTCAATTTAATTAATTGGATACTGGTGTGGGACCATGGTCTGTATTCTGTCAATTATATTTTAAATAATCTCTGATTGTCCAGTAGTCAGGCAGGAGGTACAGGCGGGACAACCAGACAGGAAGTAGAGGCGGGTCAATGAGAACAGGAGAATTCCGGGAAGGAGGAAGCCCATTCCTATGCATTCGTTGCCCAGCCACAGAAGAAGCAAGATGTGACTGCCTTGCTGAAAAAGGTACTGAGCCATGTGTCTGACATACACAAGAATAATGGGTTAATATAAGTTATAAGAGTTATAAGTTATAAGAAGCCTGAGCTAATGGGCCAATCATTTTATAACTAATGTAGATTATGGGAACCAGGCGAGACAGAAAACTCAGTCAACAGTGTACTATACAGTTATTTGGATTTTTTTTTTTTTTATAAAATAGGTAGGGGAATGTAATTTCAAAAATGCAGGGAAGATTTTTATGAAGTTGCCTGAGGTACCCCAATTGTTAGGGCAGCCATGGCCTGTGTTAGGAGGATTTACTTCTAAGTCCCTAGGCTTCTGGAGTCCTAGCTATGACCCAGCCATTTGAAACAACTTCTACAGAGTGCTGACACTGTTGAACTGGGGAACACTAGCAGCCACTGGAGAGGGTTAGCGACTTACTTAGCAGTGGAGATGCTGAAATCCCAGCTACGCGGTATGATCTCTGTCACTGCTCCAAAGCTTGCCAAACAAGGCTCAACTTTTCATTCACTTTAGTTTTTATTAAAAATGTTAAATTAGCCAGGCATGGTGTCACACACCTTTAGTCCCAGCATTTGGGAAGCAGAGGCAGGCGGATCTCTGTGAGTTTGAGGCCAGTATACTCTAGTGAGTTCCAGGACAGCCAGGGATATTGAGGGACACTGTCTCAAAAACAAAACAAAACAAATGACACCTTTAAAAGAAATGTATTTCCTGTGGCCATGTGTATAGCATGTGGATGGCCAGAAGACAATTTCCAAACATTGTTCTTTCCTTATACCATGTAGATCTTGGGGACTGAGCGACTCCTTAGGCTCGGGGCAAGCCTGATACATTGCTGGTCTCTTGACTTTACCTTTCTGAGACAAGGTCTCACTAAAAAGCCCTGACAGACCCGGAACTTAATACTGTAAATCACGCTAGCATTGAACTCAGAGGTCCCCTGCTCAAAGGTGCATGTCACCATTTTTGGCTTTTCACATATTAGATGCTTGGAAGCTATGCCAGTCACCAACCTGAGGACTTTACGTGGCTAAGGAGTTTTACCCTTTTACCAGCTCCTAAGGGTCTTCAGCTGATTCTGGGGAGTTCAAGAACAATCTCCAGGGTCCATGTGAATGAGGTCATGACTGTCCCCCAGCGGTGCTGAAGATTGGGAAAGGAGCAAGCGCTCTAGGACTAAGCTCATCCCAAGCCCTCTGCTTTCCCTTTTACCACCAAGTTGCCCAGGATGGTCATGGATGTGCCCTATCATCTTAGCAAGCTTCAAACTTGTGATCCTCCTGCATCAGGCTCCTGAGTAACCAAGATTACAGCCCTGGGCCACCAGACCCTTCTTCTTGTTGTTTGGCTTTAGAGACCGAGTCTCAACTATGTAGGTCAGGCTGCCCTTAAACTCTACAGCCCAGCTCTGGCCTCAAATTCATGATCCTCCTGCCTCAGCCTCCTGAGTGCTGGGATTAAAGGCATGATCCACCACTTACGACTTGAGACCATGACTAAGAGTTTGAAAAAAAAAAAAAAAACAACTAAATTACTGGTTGCCGTGCATGGAGCTGTGTTTTATTGAGTTCTCTTGCAGTTCTAGGCTGAGGGTGGGGCTACTGCTTTTGACAGGACCCTAGCATGTTACCTGGTAAGCATGGTCCGTGTGCACGAGGTAGAGGGTGGTGGGGGCTGAGCGGCTCAGCGGCGTCATCGGCTTGGGGTCGGTTTTGGCACAAGGCGATTCTGTTCGGCTGCAGTCTGGGACAGGAAACGTGGGAGGTGAGGTCAGGGACTGCGAGGGAGAAACCGGGGCCAGGCCCTCAGACATCGAGTCCGTGTTGAGCTTGATCTCAGTGTAGTAGAAGTCCTCCTCTCCATCACTGTAGTCAGATTCCCCAACTCGCCTAGGGAGGAGAAAGCAAAGCTCAGCGATCCGTCCATCTGCCTCCATCTTGGGCAGACCATTCCTTCAACCTGGAACACTCTCCTCTCTGTTGGCCTGGGAGCCGCCACGTTTGCCCTGCAGCACTAGGCGACCTTTCGAGGGAGGGCTTCCCCAGCTTCCACCACCAACACTGTTTGCTAGTAACGTGACTTCCACTCTTATGCTAATGGTGTTAGGAAAGGTCAAGAGGATGCGGGCATGATGGCACTAGTGGCTCCGAAAGGAGGAGAAGACAAGCAAGTAGATTTGGTTTGTCTGACCGTATCAAATTCACCAGATGCTGAACATCTAGATGCCTACATTAATGCCATAGATTCAGCATCCAGAACCGTGAGCCAAATAAACTTCCGCTCCTTTCACTTACCTGGCATCAGGTATTACACCACAGAAACAGAAAATAGACTTCTTAGAGCAGTCTTTCTACCACCCACCCATCCATCCACCCACCTACCTCCCTATCCGTCCACCCGTTCATCCACCTTCCCACCTATGCATCCATCCATCCATCCATCCACCTATCTACCTATCTGTCCACCGTTCATCCACATTCCTGCCTATCCATCTATTTACTTGTCTGAGAATCATTTATTTGAATATATTACATATAAAACATTCTACCTCCTAACAGGAACAAAACACAGACTCTGCTTTGACGGAAATTTTTGTTTTTGTTTTGTTTGGTTTTGGTTTTTCGAGACAGAGTTTCTTTGTGTAGCCCTGGCTGTCCTGGAACTAACTCTGTGTGTAGACCAGGCTAGCCTCCAACTCAGAGATCTGCCTGTCTCTGCCCACTGTGTGAGTGGGTTTAAAGGCGTGAGCCACCACCGCCAGGCTTTCTAGAGGCAGACAAGAAATCTCTAACACACAGCCATTTAATAAGAGGCTTTGTTAAGTCCCAGTAAAAGAGATAAAGCAATACTTGAGAGTCCATAATTAAGGATAGAGGTTGGGGTACCGAGCTGTACATAGGCTGCTCAGGCTAGCAGACACCTGCATGCCGGGCTTTGGAGGGAGCACATCCCCCCAAGCTCATGTATTTGAAGAGTTGCTCCCCAGCTGGTGGTGCTATGTGGAGAGGTTATATAACTTTTAGGAAGTACAGCCTGTGGAAGAAGTATATCACCAGAAGAGGCCTTGGAGGGTTTAGAGCCTCAGCCACTTCCTGCTTGCTCTCTCTGCTTCCCGCTCCTGCCACCTGCTCCATGCCTTCCTCTGCATTTCGGACACTAGCCCTCTGGAGCCATAAGCTAAGAGCCTCTTCCTTCTGTGACCTGCTCTGGTCACAGAGCCTCCTCACAGTGATGAAAAAGCAACTAACACAGCAGGGTTGGGACCCTGGAATGGAGGCTCAGGCAGGCTCAGGTGGGGCTGCTTTGGCCTCTGTGACGGCTCTGGGATCCAGAGTTTATTCTGGAGGTTACCAGAATCCCTAGGAATTTTAGGAAACGGACATTATTTTTAAAGGACCACCACAGTTTCTGTCTGAAAGTTGAAAAAGCTGGGAACGGGCAGGAGGAAAGCCTGGAGGTGGATGCTGCCATCTGTGATCTTGAAGCACATCAGTAGCGGTAAGGGATGAGGGATGAGACACCACAGTCTAGATTCATCTTAAAGTTGGGGCTCAGGGCTCACCTGCCAGCCTTGTATGTTCCCTTCAAAGTAAATTTGTCCCTTGAGTTAATGCCTTGGTGTATTTTTTTTCTTTTTTCTTTTTGGGGTTTTGTGTGTAAGTGTGTGCTGAGATTCAAACTCAGGCCTCACTGACGGAGGAGCATGAAAAGCACATTAAGAGAAAAGAACTTCCTCTGGTCAATCGAATGAAACCCTCAGTCTGGGTGGAGAGCGGACCTAGTCCAAGTTAGGCCGGTCAATCAGGAACCATCCCCTAGGAAGGTACAATCACCCCGAGCAAGGAAGGTTCACTTTGAGCCACGTTTAGGACACAAATGGAATAATTATTCCTTTGAATATTTTCCTTCTTTTCTTTCCTCCCTTCCTTATTCTTTTTTGAGAAATAAGGTCTCTTTATATAGCCCCAGCTGTCCTGGAATTCACTATGTAGACCAGGCTGGTCTCAAACTCATAGAGATGTGCCTGCCTCTGCCTCCTGAGCTCTGGAGTTAGAAGCATGCACAACTATATCCAGCCTTCTAATGTAATACTGCACCTTTCCTTCCCAGAATTCCTCCTGGGAGCTCAGTCCTTACAAGTCACTATGAAGGTCTGCTGGGTCTGACCACTTTCTGAATCTTGACTTTTCTTATTCTTTTCCCTGTCTCATGCATTAGATGTAGAAACTAGGTATGCTCTCTCTGGTACATTCTTACACGTCCTCCAGAGCCCCCTCCTCCCTATGTGGCTGTCCTCGATGCCAGCGTAACTCAGTGGCAGGGTTTCTGTTTTCTAACCCTTCTCCATTCGTCCTCTAGGCAGCTGCTGAGAGTCAAAACTTGCCTGTCCTGGGTGCTTTTAAATTCTAATGTTATTGTCCTCAAGCTTCCAGTAGAGTGTGTTTTTAAATTTTTCTAATAATGAAACTTAGACCCCAAGAGGGGACCTCGATTTCCTGGCATCAGGGCTTATTCAGAACACCCGTCACTGAGCCATCTCTCTAGCCCTGTTGTGGGCTCTGAAAATCTTTGTCTCCTCACTATGGCTATCCTTCCCCGGGCTGTCTTCTGCTGATCTCTGCACCACTCCACATACAGTCAGCATATTTGGCACTGACTGGCACCTACCGAAACCTGCACGAGTGAGTGATGCACAGGCTGCTGTGGCTAGAACCATACTTTCTGGAACTGGATTTTTCAGGCTGTGAACATTCAGTGTGATTCTGGCAGCCCAACATGGTCTCATGCCTTGCCTTGGTGTCTTAATTTATAACATGTGATCACAAGAACAGTTCTTTGTTTACGACGGAGTAACCAACCGCAGAGAGCTCGCTACTCTCCCTGATGCGGGAAGCACTACTGAGTGTTTAGTAAATAAACACAAGAACTAAGCGCTAAAGCCTCCCTCGCCTGCCCACAAGACTATCATCCAAGGCCTTAACTAAGCTCCAAAGCCTCCCTCGCCACGCCCACTAGGAGACTATTACCCAGGCCTTTAAACTTCTCTACCTGGAAGAAAACTGTGCTTTCTCACAGAAAGTTTTGAGTTAAGTAACTGTTATGACTCAACATTTACTAGCCTTGCAAATTTCCCAGGAACTAAGTCCCCAGAACCTGACTCTCTGGAATGGCTGAGAGCAAGGGGCATCCCTCAGTCCATGGGCACCCATGGCAGGAGCCAGAGCAAGGGGCATCCCTCAGTCCATGGGCACCCATGGCAGCAGCCAGAGCAAGGGGCATCCCTCAGTCCATGGGCACCCATGGCAGCAGCCAGAGCAAGGGGCATCCCTCAGTCCATGGGCACCTATGGCAGGAGTCAGAGCAAGGGGCATCCCTCAGTTGATGGGCACCCGTGGCAGCATGGCCAGAGGTGGCTAACTGAAAACTTGTTTCCCCTTGAGTCATTCCTGTATAGACCTAAAATAAAGTGTTCTCCTCCAGCCTTTGGCTTGGCCAGATCAGTGGCTTCTCACAGCCTCGCTCCATTTCCTCTACGCTTTAGAGGGCTGGCATCTGGGGACGTGTTTCTGTGCCGTATCAGGTCAGGTGGGGCTTGGCTTTCTGACAGGCATGCCACTGAGGACCCCAGAGAGGGGGACAAGGAATGAGTGCCTGTTCTATTCCTGTCCCTGCTTCCTTTCCAGTCACAGGCAGGCTGAGCTGCGGCTGGCTGCCAAGTGCTACTAATAGACACTCAGACCTGAGGGAAATCATGAATTTTTCAGGGGGACAGAAGAGGATCAGCCCCCGAAGACTGGGAGCTGAGGAGAGGCTGAGAAACAGGAGAAAACCATGCACTTTTTAAGTCTGCATGGCGTGTCTGAACTTTCATCAGATGCAGGACCTGTTGGTTTTGGGCGGGGCTGACATGCCTCTCGGTCACTGCTTACTAACACGCCCAGTATCCAACAGTGGCACACTTGGGCTCGTGGAGTAAGGGGAAAGACTGGGTTCCTCAGTCTGAGAAAGCACAGGCTGGGGGCTTGAGGTCCTGTAACCTTCGGGAGCTCCTTTCCCGGGCAATGGCTGGCAGGATGGTGAACTACAACTCACCGAGGTGACTGTAAGAGCATGCTGGTTAAAGGATCCTAAGGAAGTCAACAAGTGGCTGACCCAGGAATGCTGCCCCCCCCACCCCCAGAATGCAAACTGCATGCTCTCTCAGTCTCTAAATACACATTCATGGAGCACATGCACTGTTTAGCAGGGCTTGTTGGCAAGTTCTCTGCTGGCATCTGGGGACGTGTCTCTGCGCCATATCAGGTCAGGTGGGGCCTGGCTTTCTGACAGGCATGCCACTGAGGACCCCAGAGAGGGGGACAAGGGATGAGTGCCTGCTCCATTCCTGAGCTATTCCATTGCTCTGAGCTATTTCTGCCAGTCTAAGCAGTGATCTGGGGCAGACTGTGCAGGACTTCTCACTCCAGGGGGCAGGGGAGGGGCACTGCAGTACTGTGACATTTCCTGAACACGCAGGCAGAGCCTTCAGCTAGGGTAACACAGCCTGGCCTCACTTGGCCACATTCCTGATGCTTGGTGACCTTATGGGCATCCTGCTCTACCAAGCTTTGGTGTGACCCAAGCATCTGCCTGAAGACTTAGGGGCCAGCTCTGTGCTGCTTTTCACGGCCGACGGGGCCACGGCTGCAGCCTCGGAACTCTTCCTGTCCACCTACACCACTTTCACACAGCACGCACTTCCTGCGTGTGCTCCCTTCTGATAAGGTGACTCTTATTTCTCCACATTCGTTTTGTTTGATACAAGAACCCTTCCTTCTGTGTTGAGCACTCAGATGTACTCAGATGCTGACATTTGCCTACTGCACACTGGTGACAACTATGGTCATGGGGCATCCCTTCTAAAGCCCAGATACCTGGACAAGACAGAGCCAGGAGGAAAGCATGGCCGGTTAACCCCAGGGCCGCTGGCTGTGAGCCTAGCTGCGGGCTCCTAACCCTAGCTGTGTCTCTGTAGGAAGGTTCTTATGAAGAAAACAGGCTCATCTGGGCAACAGACTGAGTCTGACCACCACATCTGGCTTTATCGTTGAAGGTGTGATGACTTTTTCCCTTTTGCCTTTGGGGGTGGGGAATGGTTCATTTGGAGACTCTCTTAAAGTGACAGTAGCTTTTGAGGTTCTAAGTCATAACCTGCAAAAACAATGAACGCTTGGATGTTTCATCTTACAGACACCAGGGGCTCAAGGACTCTCGGAAGTGTGCTCACCGCCCCCAGGGGAGGAGCCCTGGTGCTGCGCTCTATACTTTGTGTCTTTGCACAGCCTGTCTTTGACCCCAGAGGTAACAGACTTGAGTAGTCATTTTAAGTGAGGACCTGAGTCAATGACCCAGGAAAAAGTTTAGGGAGGGGAGGGCTGGGCGGCTGGAGACTCTGTGGCTGCCTATCAGCAGCGTCCCCTCCACTGCAGGGATGAGGAGGAGCCTGAGGCACAGTGCAGTGCACACTGTCTGAGAGCTGAGCTGCTGGGCAGTGCTGCGAGGCTGCCCCAGCTCCAAGGGGAGGAGCAGGCTACCTTACCCGAGGTGGATGGCCCGGATGTGCTTCTGGATGCCTGCTGCCGTGTTCAGCACCTTGCCACAGTTTTTCCAAAGGCATTTGAACATCACCTTCATGGAGTTCTATGGAAAGAGGAGGAAACATCACAATGCATGCAAACCTGCCCAGAGTCACCTTCTTGTCCCCCTGACCATTTCCCCTTCTTTAGAAACTTAACGGCGTGCCATGTTCTTGACGACCAAATTCTCCGCTCTGGGATTTTCCCGGCTGGTGACGCGCTTCAGAAGCTCAGACTCCTTCCATTTCTCCATGGGAACCGAGCTTTGCTGCTGATTTTAACCACATTTCCCAGAGGCCCCCATGGGCACTGGGGCCACCCTGGCAGAGGCTAATTTTAACCAGGTGCTTAGTAGGGTAAGGTGCTGTCCTGAGCGTATTTAATCCCCCAAGACAGATGTCACAGGGTCTCCATGTTACAGAGAGTTGCAGTGAACCAAGGAGCAGGGCTGGAATCTGCTCCAGAAGCCAGCCTCCACGCCGGCACACAATCACACAGCACCCTTCAATGAGGGCTTAGCATTTTCAAGAACTCCCAGCAGTGACTGAGCCACCACGTGGACTTGTCCTGTCAACCACAGTGTTCTTGACTACAAAATAGGAATAGTAATGGAGCCCCTTACAGATGACCATGGTGCCTTAGTGACATCATGGGCCAAAACCAGCCGACCCGCTTAGAGGCAACTACTCACTACAGCAGGTGTCGTGGAATTATTGTCACCACGTGCCTTGAACTGCATTTTTAAATTTTTGCAGTGCTTGGGGCGGGACTCAGGTGCTTGCACACGCTAGGCAAGTGCCCTGCCATTGCCCCACTGTGGTAGCTGGAATGGAAATAGTCCCGCAGACACAGGGGCTGGCACTATGGGAGGTGTGGCCTTGTGGGAGGAGAGGTGTCACTGTGGGTGGGCTTTGATGTTGCAGAGGTTCGAGCCAGGACAGTGTCTCAGTCTCTCTTCCTGCTGCCTGCTGATCTGGATGCAGAACTCTCAGCCCCTTCTCCAGTGCTGCATCTTCCTGCATGCTGCCATGCTCCCACCCTGATGATAATGGACTAAACCTCTCGACTGCAAGCCAGCTCCAATGAAATGTTGTCCTTTATAAGAGTTGTCATGGTCACAGTGTCTCTTCACAGCAATAGAAACCCCAGTTCCCCAGGAATGAAGTCTTACTTAGTTTATATACATGTACGTATGCATGCATGTTTATGAAGGTATGATGGTTTGGATGATAACGGTTCCCATATCATCATCTATTTGAATGCTTAGTCACCAGGGACGACTTGGGAGATGTGGGCTTGTTAGAGGAAGTGCGTTGCTGAGAGTGGGATCTAAGGTTTCAGAAGCCCACACCAGGCCTTGTCTTCTCTGCCTCTCTCTGCCTATGGGTCAAGATATAGGATTCTCAGCCACCTCTTCCACACCATGTCTGCCTGCATGCTGCCATACTCCGGCCATGATGATTATGGAATAACCTCTGAAACTGTAAGCCAGCCCCAATCAAATGCTTTCTCTTATAAGAGTTGCATGGCCACAGTATCTCTTCACAGCAGTAGAACAGTGACTAAGACAGAGGATATAAGCCATGCTGTACATATGGAGGTGATGTAGGAAGGTCTTCTGTTTATATGTTACTTTCATTGGTCAAATAAAGAAACTGCCTTGGCCTTTTGATAGGACAGCAGCTTAGATAGGCGGAGTAGACTGAACAGAATGCTGGGAGAAAGAAGCAGAGTCAGGCAGACGCCAAGAATCATCAGCTCGAGATGGACATAGGTTAGGATCTTTCCCAGTAAGCCAGAGCCTTGTGGTGCTACACAGATTTAATGGAAATGGGTTAATCAAGATGTGAGAGTTAGCCAATAAGAGGCTAGAAATAATGGGCCAGGCAGTGTTTAAATGAATACAGTTTCTGTGATTATTTTGGGGTATAAGTGGCCAGGAGTCGGGTGGCAGGAAGCGGCCTGCTGCTCCTTTTACTACAGTTTGGCGCCCATCCACTTAAAAACCTGAGAGGGTTTAAAAAGGAGAGAGAGAGAGTTTAACACACAGTTTTTTTTTTGCTGTTTGTTGGCGGTGTGCTGCAGAGAAATGTCCCTGACTCAGCAGCCTTAGCAGGAAAAAAGCTGCGCGGTTTTAAAATGCACCTTCTGGGCTGTGCCGCCAGTGCGAACTCTGGCTTTAAACATTTCAATGGCTTTTATGAGACTGGATGTTTGTGTTCCCGCTTGGGATCGGGAAGAAAGTACTCTGAGACCATGCCAAGGGCTCAGCGCTCCCTGTCTGCATCTGGGCAGACGGCGGGATCAGGCTTAGATCAGCCTTAGACAAGCAGGAGAGCATGGCTGATTTCTGCCACCATACAGAGAGATATTTCCAGGCTGCGCAGTGCTCTGCATGGCAGATTTGGCTGTAACTTGGATGAAAAGAGTTTCTGTGCTGCACGCTCAGTCTCAGAGTTAAACTGCTGAGTGTGGCTTCTACCTGGTGGCCCCAGAGCTAACAGAAATGGTATGTCCTCCATTTTGAAATTGGAGAGAGGTGGAGCCAACATCCAGAGCAGCCTGCTGCTCTGCAGCTCAGTAAACTGCCAGCTTCTTGCTCCTGCCTTTGCTTCAGTATCACGACTCTCTGGAGCCAGAAGCCCAAATAAACTCTTTCTTCTATAAACTGCCTTAGCCATGCTGTTTTATCACAACAGCTGACAGGCGGCTGACACCATCCACGTACACCGAGTATGCACAGCAGCAGACACCATCCATGTACACCGAGCATACACAGCAGCAGACACCATCCGTGTACACCGAGCATACACAGTAGCAGACACCATCCACGTACACCGAGTATGCACAGCAGCAGACACCATCCATGTACACCGAGTGTACACAGCAGCAGGTGGCTGACCCCATGCATATATACAGAGTATACTAAAAATGAAGCTATAGTGTACTTTTCATTCTTTAAGTTCCTTCTGAAAAGAATTTGTTTTTATTCATGCCTGTGGGCTTGCTTGCTTGTGTGTGCTCGATGGATGTGCAGGTGCCCGGTGAGGCCAGAATCACACACTGCATCTTCTGCAGATACAGTCACAGTGGGTGTGAGCTTCCTGATGCAGGGGCTTGGAACAGAACTCAGGCTCCTCCCCAAGAGCAGAGCGAGCTCTAACTGCAGTCACTCTCCAGCCCTGCACTTTCTGCTTTTCAAATTACATCTTATTTACTTGTGGGACTGAGCAGGGTGGGCAGCCAGTGTCTTCGCCCACTGAGCTGTCTCAGCAGCTCCTCAGGGAAATCCCACTCTGCCCGGTTTGATCGTCTCTCACCCTGCTCAGCACCTCCAGAGGTGGCTCCTGCCATGGGTTTCTGGGTGGAGGTGGTCAATGGAAGGAAGCAGGGGGCAGGAGAAAATCCTGATTTCCCTGGCTCCCATTTTAGCGGCGCAGCTGCGAGTGGTTACATTTCTCTTCTCAAGTTGCCATTTCTGCCAGGGGGATCACTCCTCCAGCTGGAATTCTAGAGTTCTGGTTATTCCTAGGTTCTGGTAATGGCCCTGGTTGTTTGGTTCTTCACGCTGACGTGGCAGTGGGGGTGGGCTTGCCTGATTAGATCCTGGGTTGTCCCACCATCCCTAAGGACATGAGTGTACCATGGACGCTCTGCCAGAACTTGAACTATTAGCAGGAAACACAGGCTAGTAAAGAACATGAATAATGGTTTCAGGGAGGGAGGGAGTAATAGTGTGATGTTTTTAGTTATCTGTAGGTTTTTTAAAAATAACAAAAGTTTGCAAATTAAAAACAAACACTGGGCCTTTAAGCCCAGTATTCTGGAGGCTAGCTTAGTCCACATAGGGAGTTCCAGAATTGCTGGGGCTATGCAGAGACCCTGTCTTTGAAAACCAACCAACAACACATACAAACAAAAAACTGGGAAAGATAATTTTTATGTTAATTTCTAAATTTAAAACATTTATTCTATTTGTAGTGTTTGTTATGTTGTTTGTTTTCCCTACTGCTGAGTCCCAGGCCCGAGTGTACTAGGTAGGTAGACTACAGTGAGATCCGTAGCTACCTATTTTTAACTTTATTTATATGAATTATTTCCTAAATTTTAACTTTTACTTATTCCTTGTCTGCTGTCCTGTCACACACCTTTAATCTCAGCTCTCAGAAGGCAGAGAGAGCTATGTGGATCTCTGAGTTTGAGGCCAGGATGGGCTACACAGAGAGCTCCAGACCAGTCAGGACAAAACAAAACCAACCGAACAAAAACCTGACTTGACTAATGCTGCCTACCCAAATGAGGAGAAAAACAAACAGGATGGAAGGATTATCTCAGCCTCAATGGACCCGAGCAGCTAGCTTTGTTCTACACACGAGAGGGTGTGCTCCCAAGGCCAAAGACACTTATGGTAGTTTAATTCTTCTCAGGGTCCCCTTGCTATATCCAGCTGAAACCAACCCTCTGTCCACAAACAGACTACTTGCTGTTATGCTGGAGCAAAAGCAAGCCACAGGAGGAGGAGAGCCGAAAAAAATAGCTAAATAAACAACGCCCAAATTGCCACACGGTCCAAGCGGTCTGGAGGAAGCCAAACCAAGCAAAGCTGCTGGCCAAGCCACTGCGGCCAAGTGTGAACGGCCCATCTGTGCTCAACCTTGGCCTCTCCTCCAGGCTCCAACAGATGTGCTGCCCGCAAAAGCACAGGGCAACAGCTGAAAATTCACCCCCAGTGGAAAGCACTTTTGCTGAGCATCAAAGTCCCTGTCAGCTGAGCTGAATTCTCACAAAAGGCCCTCTTCACAAAGAGCAGCTGAGGCCCGGGAAGGACAGAAGGAGGCCCGGGAGCTGGAGCTGCCACCTCCTTGCCTGATCTAATATTACAAAGACCCCCCCGAGGGCCAGGCACTCCAGACCAATGCAAACTCAGAATTTTAAAAATGTTCTACGTAAGATGTGTGGACACTTCCGGCAAGCTCTTCAGATTACTCAGTTGGTGCTGTTGGTTGTAGAGAAATTCTAGATTTTTTACCTATGCAGCTAGCTTGAGACTAAGGACCCTGGCAA